CACCCCCCACCCATCCCCCCCCCTGTCTGTCCCTCCCCACAGGCACCCACTCACCCCCATGTCCCTCACCCCCCACCCATCCCCCCCCCTGTCTGTCCCTCCCCACAGGCACCCACTCACCCCCATGTCCCTCTCTCCCCACCCATCCCCACGCCCCCTCTATCTATCCTTCCCCCCAGTGGCCCACCCCACCCATCCCCATCCCCCCACCCACCAGGCTGGCACCATGAAGGGGCCTGGAGGTGGCTCGGGTTCCCCCAAGGAAAGTGAGATGTTTGGTTTTTAACCCCCCTCCCCCCCCCACCATGGGGCAGGAGAGCCGAGTCCCACTCCCCTGCGAGGGGTCGTGGCTGGGTTGCTGGGCCAGTCCCGCTGCTGGCAGAGCTGGGGCAGGGCCGGACCCTGGGGACCTCTCTGGGGCTCAGGCTCCCAGCCGGGGTCCATCGCCCCCTCCTAGCCTGGAGCGCTCCTCCCCCCACAGTGGCCTGGGGGCGAGCGTCTCGCGGTCCTGGGCAAGCAGCCCCCAGCGTCAGCCGTAGCGAGGGGGACGTGGGACCCCAGGAGCCGACCCCTCCTCCCCCCCCGTCCCCCCAAGAGCCGATCCCGATGCAGCTCCAGGCCCCAGCCTGCGGGTGGGGGGGTGACTGAGGGCCCAATTCTGGAGCAGGGGGGCACATCCGCCAAGGGCCGGATCCTGGGCTGGGGATTTGCAGACACCTTGATCCTGGGGTTGCAAAGGGCCCGATCCTGCAGTGAGGACCCCCCCCCTCCCACCAACACACAAAGCTGCAGAGGGGAATGAGACCCCGACGCCCCCCTCCCTGCCCCCGTCTGGGGGCTCCTGGCAGCCCCCCCTCACCCAGAGCGAGGCTCATCTCCCCAGCATTGTCACGGCAACCAGGGGCACCCGCCTGCCCCCATGCCCCCTCTATCCATCCCTTCCCACCCCACACAGCAGCACCCCCAACAGGCATCAGCCTAGAGCCCCACCAGTTGCCCAGCCGGGGGCCCCCCAAGGCCGCCAGGGCTAGGGGCAGCTGCTGCCACCTAGTGGCCACTGGAGGGGGGTTCAATCAGCTGCAAAATCACTTGTCCCCCATCTCCACCCCCTACTAAAACAGGCCTGTCCCAGATCCCCCCCAGGGCCCGAGCGGGGGAAGGGGGGGCAGAACAAACCATCAGACCATGGTTTGCTCTGCTCAGGGGGGTTTATTGGAACATCCAGGATTCAGAGCCCCCCCCCCGCCCCCCTCGGCTGATTGCTGGGGAGCAGTGAGAGCGGGAACCCCCAGCACAGACCCCACCCCCTTAGCGGGGACCTCTCCCAGGAGCGCTGGCCCCAGCCAGGCCCCCATGAATCACCTGCCCCCCAAACCCCTCTTCCCGGGAGCAGGGCAGCCGGGGGGGGGAGCCCAGCCCCCAGCACTAGCCGATCCTAGTCGTCTCCAGTGCCCCCCGGCACGCTCGGCGCTCCTGGCTGCAGGGCGGGATGGGGGGCAGGCTGGGGGGGGGGTCCCATGCCCAGGGACTGACCGGGGGGAGGGAGTTGGGGGAGCCCAGCTGAGGGTTCTGTTTCCCTGATGGGGGGGTGGGGGGTGTAGATCCCCAGGGTCTTGGCGACTTGGGGAGGGGCCAACAGGGGGTGTAGGGAGGAGCTGGACGTGCAGCCAGTGGGGGAGGGGGCTGGGGAATGAAGCAGGGGGCTCTGGGGTGAAGATAAGGGGGGAGATGCCGGGGAGGTGCTAGGATGGGGGGAGCTGGGGGCTGGGAGCGAGGAGAGGGGGGAGCGTGGGGGGGGTGGCCGAGCTGCAAGGCCCTGGGGGGAGGGGAGTGGGGGCTCCGTGGTTAGGGCTGGGCTGGGGGGGAGGGGAGTGGGGACTTTGTGGGCAGGGGTGGGTCGGGGGAGGCGGGGGCTGGGGGGGCCCTTCCGGCGCAGGACGAAGTCGAAGTTGGCGGCTGGATTCATGGCGTAGAAGGCGTTGGCCCCGTCGGGGATCAGCAGCTCTGGGGGAGTCGGGGGAGAGCGTGAGGGGGGCACAATGGTACTGGAGACCCCCCCAGCTGGTCCTTGTCTCCCCCTGCCCCTCCCCCAACATCTCCCCTCCCCCCATGCCCTCATCCCCCCCAACCTTCCCCCCCACCTGTGACACCTCCCTTCCCCCCATGCCCTGATTACCCCCCTCCCGGGTGCTCCCCCCACCTGGTCCTCTTCTCCAGCAACACCCCAGCCCTGCCCCCAACACCTCCCCTCTCCCCATGCCCTCACCCCCCACCCAGCGTGCTTCTCCCCCCCCCCGTGACACCTCCCCTCCCCCCACCCAGCCCTCTGCTCCCCGTCCCAGCCAGGGCCCCCTCACCTCTGCCGCCCCCCAGCAGCTGCAGGAGCTGGAAGTCTCCAGGCGGGGTCCCTTCCAGGCTGTGTTTCTGGAGGGCGCGCAGCACCACGGCTGGGGTCTTGTCCTGGCTGGTCAACTGGGGGGGCAGAGGGGGGCACAGGATCAGGGTGGGGGGGAGGGGGCAACACATGCGGGGGTGGGGGAGGGGCAGAGCATGCAGGATGGGGAGGATACAGGGCAGAGATGGGGATGGGGCCTGGCCCCGCCCCCCACCCAGAGGCAGGACCCCCCCAGTCCCCCCTCACCAGGATGCTCTTGTAGAGGTTGCCGTGGGCGTTGTCCATGCTGACCCGCACGATGCACGAGTCCGCCCCCTGCTGGTTGTAGAGGGGCGAGCAGGGGCAGCGGGCGACGGGGGAGGGCGGCTCCTCGGCGGGGCAGGTGCTGAACGGCAGCTCCAGCAGGCTCTATGCCGGGGCGGGGGGAGAAACGGGAGCTGGTGAGCGAGCAGGGAGAGAACCCAGGAGTCCGGGCTCCCAGACCCCCTCCTCCTAACTCTAACCACTGCACCCCACTCCCCGCCCAGAGCGGGGATAGAACCCAGGAGTCCGGGCTCCCAGATCCCCTGCCCCTGCTCTAACCACTGCACCCCACTCCCCTCCCAGAGCGGGAATAGAACCCAGGAGTCCAGGCTCCCAGACCCCCTGCCCCTGCTCTAACCACTGCACCCCACTCCCCTCCCAGAGCGGGGATAGAACCAGGAGTCCGGGCTCCCTGTCCCGCCCTCCCCCCTAACTCTAACCACTCCACTGCACCCCACTCCCCTCCCAGAGCAGGGATAGAACCCAGGAGTCCGGGCTCCCAGTCCCCCCTCCCCCTGCTCTAATTACAGGTGCCCAGTGGGCACAGGCCTTTGCACTGGGACAGCCCATCCCATCCCCAGCTACCTCCAGCCAGGTCTGAGCCCCCTGGCAGCTCCCCCCGGCACCCCGCGGTACCTTGCCGAGGGACCCCCCCATCTCCGGGGAGCAGGGGGAACTGGGCCCCTCATCGGCTTCGCAGCTGCTGCTGGTGCCCGAGGGCGAGATGCTGCCCTTTGCGGAGGGCAGACGGGGAGGCAGGGCCTCGGCCCCCAGCAGGAGCCTGAGGGGAGATGAGGGTGAATGGGCAAGAAAGGAGGGGAAGGGCACGGGGGGGCCCAAAGGGAGAACCTGCCCCCCAGACATCTCCATCCCTCTCCAGATGCCAATTCCACCCTCACAGAGCGAGATGCCCCCCAACACCCACCTCCTCCCCCCAATACCCACGGACCCCCTGCCCCTCCCCCACCTCCACATGAATGTGGGAATTCTGGTAATAGTTTTATGACCACTAGGTGTGCCTCAGTTTCCCCACTGATTCTGCCTGACCAGTCACTAGTGCCAAGGGAATGACCTCCAGAGGAGAGGGGAGTGAGGCCTGGCCAAGGGCTGCCCCATGGCGCCCCCAGGAGCTGAGCAGGATCGATCCCTCTGAACAGCGGGTGCGGGAAGCTGATGGGAAACCCTCTGGGAAACTGAGGCAGGTTGGGCACAGCCAGGGCCATTCCCACACCGCCTGGGCAGGGCTCCTGGCTCCCGTAGCTACCGTCGCTCAGGTCGGGGGGCGGGGGGCTGCTCAGAGGCAGACCGGACGCCCAGACAGACAGACGCCGCGGCTGGACAGGCCATTGGGATCGACCCGTCCGGCCTTTCGGAGAGCCCAGGTGAGCTCCGGAGACACCCGCCCGGCCGCAGCACGGCACTGATGGGGGCTCCCAGCTGCAGGGGGACCGAGGGGGCCGGGGGTGACTCCCGAGCTGGTGGGGGGCTGGGGGCGACTTACGAGCTGAAGCGTTTGCTGAGGCTGCGTTTGACGCGGGGTGAGTTGGGGCAGGAGTCGGCCGGGGGCTCGATGAGCCGGGAGACCCGGTAGCTGGGGGGCGAGGGGATTGGGGGGGGTTAGCGAGTGTCCCCCCGCCTTCTGCTGCTACTTCGCTCCTTCCGTCATGGAGGGGGACGCTCCAGGCAGCTCCCCACATGATGCCCCAGTGCCCCCTCCCCTGCCTCCCTACTGCCCCCCCGCCTCTCTCCTGCCCCCCCTCACTTCCCCTCCCCGCCTCCCTACTGTGCCCCCTCACTGCCCCCGGTCTCTCTCCTGTCCCTCCTCACTGCCCCCTCCCCTCCTCCCTACTGCCCCCCGGCCTCTCTCCTGCCCCTCACTGCACCCTCCCCC